GAGCGAGGTTGCAATGGTACGATTGGGCGGTGCCAAAACGTAACATATGTTACGTTTTAGGGGGCCCAAAACGTAACATGTGTTACGTTTCGGGGGGTGTGATTCGTAACATCGCGTTGTTTGTGCACCTCATATGAAATGTTACGAATCGTGGGGCGCAAATCGTAACATATGTTACGTTTCAGCGGCGGCAGATCGTAACATATGTTACGATTCAGTGGTGGCAGATCGTAACATTTGTTGCGTGTCAGCGGTAGCAAATCGTAACATCTGGTATGCTTCATGACTCGGTGCCCCAGAGAAGTCGCCAACTGAAAGAACTGCCCGCCCATGATCTATCATGACGCCCGTGTGCCCACCCACCCACCCAACACGCCGCCCGCGCATTTGTCACGATAGCACAGCCCGAAGCCCTGCACGCGATGGAGGGCGGCTGAGCGGCGCAACGCGCCTCTCAACAAACGTGCCGACAGCCGCGCGCACGCGCGCAGCAGAGTGCGGTGCGCGGGCCCACTCAGAGCGCACCGAGCTCGGCCAGGGCCTTCTTGAGGCGCCGAGCGTTGGCGACCCGCCCCCCGCGCATGCGCGCCTTGCGGACCTGCCGCTTCACGTCGTCGTTCCCAGCGGCGTCGCCGTCGGCGGCCAGGTCGTCGGCAACCTGCGGGCCGTCGTCGTCGGCGTCGCCGCCGCCGTCGCCGTCGCCGTAGCCGTCGCCGTCGTCGTCATCGCCGTCGCCGTCGTCGCCGTCGCCGTCGTCGTCGTCGTCGCCGCCACCGCCGTCGCCGTCGTCGTCGTCGCCGCTGTCGTCGCGATTGGCGTCGACGTCGGCGACGACGACGACGAACCTCGTCCTCGCGCATGCGCTTCATGGTCTCGATGATCGCGCCCTGGTCGATCCTGTACTTGCCATTGACGGTGACCGCAGTGGTGCTCGAGCTGCTCGCAGCACCCGTCGCGCGATGGCCGTGCTGCTTGGCCCACCCCTCGCCATCGTTGTAGCCGCCTCCATCGCCCTGCTGGTTGCCGCCTGCGCTGTCCTGCGGGTAGCCCCACTCGTCATCCTGCGGGTCGTCGCCCTGGGCATCTGAGTAGCCCGTCATGTCCTGCGGGTAGCCGCCCTGCGGGTAGCCGTCCTGCGGGTAGCCCCACTCGCCTTGCGAGTAGGCCCACTCGTCCTGCTGGTAGCTCCACTCGCCCTGCGCGTCGTAGAAGACCCACTTGTTGTCCTGGAGCCGCCAGTAGCCATCCATGGAGCCGCCCCGCGCGTCACGCGCGCGGCCGCCCCACCCGTCGCCCTGCGCGGTGTCGCCCCAGCGCCACCACCAGTCCTCATCCGTGTACTTGTACGAGTGCTGCTCCAGCGCGCCGCGGCCGTCGTCCTGCTGCTGCGCTGTGTCCTGCTCCTGGTCGTGGCCGCCTCGCTCGTCCTGCTCCTGGTCGTGGCCGATCGTGTCCTGCTCCTTGCCGTGGCCGCTCGTGTCCTGCTCCTGGTCCTGTGGCTGCTCCTGGTAGTGGCCGCCCGTGTCCTTCTCCTGGTCGTCCCAGATGCGGCCCATGAAAGCCCGTGCCGTCTGGGCGCGCTTCCACTCGAAGTCGGCGTCGGCAGTGGCGGCGTCGGTGCCTCCGCGCGGTGGCGGCGGCGGCGGAGGCGCGGTTGGCGGCCTCGGCGCAGGGCGGTCGCGGTCTCGCCATAGGTGGGTTGGCGGAGGATCGTCAGGGGGTTTCGGCAGCTTGGGCATCTTCTTCGGCGTTGGCTGAAGCCTCGGCTTGGGCGTGTCGGGCTGGGCGGCCGCCGCAGCGGGCTCGGCGGGCGGGGCGGCCGTCTCGGCAGGCCGCCTCGCCCATCGGCGGATGCGAACCTCGCCAGAGGAACTCTGCGCACGCCGCACCCCCCATCCCCAGGTTCGCTTCGGCGTGGCAGCAAGGATGTCCGCCATGACCATCAGCGTGAGCATCGAGCGCGCGGCGCCATCGCCATCGCCCCCGCTCGAGGGCGAGGAGGCTGTGCCACGCTCCATCGGGACGCGGTCGGCCCCGCTGGGCGCGCCGCCTCATTAGCCAAAATGGCAGCGGGACTGGGGGCCTCGAGGGCGAGGACGAGGAGGAGCAAGATGAGGCTGGCGCTGGGAGTGGCGATGCTGATGCTGCAGGGTAGGGGTTATGATGATTACGGTGCCAGATTAGGGGCTCTATGTGGCATGCCTTGGGGCCATCTTGTGTCTTATTGGAGCCACCGCCAGGCCTCGGAACGCCAAGACGCTGCAAACAGTATAGTTCCCCCTGCGCGTTGTAAGGACGTGGGCCTCTTGCGGGGCTCATTGGAGCTCTCGTGCGCCACTTGGAGCCGTCTTGAAGGAGCGAGTCATGGCATGTTAAAGCATGGCTCGGAATGGGGGGTCCATGGTAGTGGGGGCGGTACGAGTGGGAGTCGGAGAGGGCACGTGCAGCTCGCGAGCATGCTCGCGAGCTGCGCGGCCGTGCACGGTCGTACAGCTGACGAACATGGTGATGAGTATTGTGAATGTTACGACGATGTTGCAACATATCCACCCATAGTGACGATAATGGTGAATGATGATGGTGACGATGCTTCTCTGATGCACACAACGTCTGGGAGCAACTAGCGGCTGGGCAGCTCGCACCCTATCGGGCTACCACGTGATCCCCATCGAGGGCAGCTCGCGAGCACGCTCGCAATGCCCTGCTGCTGACAAACATGCACGCGCCATGCGAACCAACTGCCACGCTCACTGGCCACCTGCGGGCGAACCGACACCTGCCGATGGCGGCTCTGGCTCCTTCTCGCTGGCGTCCTTGCAGAACTGCGCGAGAGCGGCCGTCGCCTCGTTAGCCTTGAGCTGCACGAAGTCGGGGTCATTGCTGCGGGGGACGGGCAAGGAGTGGAACCTTGTCTTCTGCTTCGCGGCGTCGAAGTACCTGCAGTACACGCAATGGCGAGACGCCCACCACTTCACAGTCTTGTCATCGATCGTCGGCACGAACTCAACGAGGGAAGGGTGGGGCTTCACCAGCAGCAAGTTCAAGTTGGTGGTCGACAGCTCGATCCATGGAGAGCTCTGGGGGTTCCAATCAGACAGGACTTTGACTATGGACCCGTTGCCTTCGGCTGTCTTGACCACCACGTCGAACGTTGCTGGAACATCGTCTGCCATCTCCTTGCGCTTGCGCTTCTGGCCATGGGGGTCGCCAGGCGCATCTGCATCCCCCAAGGGATCACTCTCGACCGCCTTCTCATTGACTGCAGTATCGAATGCATCGTTTCTAAGAGTAACCACAGCGTCCACCATGGCCAACTCATTGCCCACAAAACGCTTGAACGATGGGTCGCCCTTGCAAGCATGAAAGAAATACACCCCATCGACAGTTTTGAGCTCTGCATTCCATTTCGGCTTGCCTTGCTGTATGTGACCGCCGCCCACCTTAGCTTGCAAGACAAAACTGGCCTCGGCGGCGGCCATGGTGGCGTGCGCAACGATTGATCAGCACGGGCTGCGGAGTGGCAGCGGCGGTGGCGTGGGGGAGGGGGAGGGAGAGCGGGTGCCTGGCCCCTCCAGCCCAGATGGGCGTCGGTGGTGTGGGTCGCCCCCCATTCCTGCCAAATTCTCCCCCCCCTTCGGGAATGGGTTCCCCCTGTTGTTCCGATCGTTGGACAGATGGATATAGTGATGGATGTAGATACACAAATATGTGACGAACTACTGAACACATGTAGGTATATCGGTAGGCACGCATATAGATGTGTATGTATATCGACATATATATCTATAGATCGTGATATGTATGGTATGTATATATGTAATGACGGATGTATATATGGATTTCTACGCGCACATATTGATATACGCAAGAATCAATAGACATGCAGATAGGTAGGTAAGTCGACAAGACACCCCTGACAAAACACAGCCATCGATTGACCGAAGCGACCACTCAGGTCACTTTAAACAGACCCCGCATGTTAAGGTGACCGTTTGGGTCGCGTCGGGGCCCGCTTGGAGTCCACGCGGGGCCCTCTTATAGCGTACTGCGGGTCCCCATTGCAGCGCTCTCGGGGCTTCCAATAGGCTCCAAGATGATCTGGGAGGACTAGGCGGAGACCCTCTGTGGGCCCCAAGAGCACCCTGGAGGGCCACCATGAAACCAAAACGAGTTTAAGGTGATCTGTTGTGCTACCTCGGGGCCCGATTGCGGGCTACGCGGGGCCTTCCTGTTGCTTTATGCGGCATCCCACTGCAGCACTCTCGGGGCCCACAATTAACCGCAGGAGGAGCCCTAAGAGCCCTGGATGGCCACACTAACATTAAAACGATGCTGTGGTCACCGCTTGGGTAGCTTCGGAGCCCGCTTGAGGTCCACACGGGGCCCTACTTGCACTCTTGCAGCACCCTGGGTGGCTCCCATTTGGCTCCAGTGGGCTCTGGGAGAACCCCCGCCCACCACCTTCCCCCCCATTCCCCCATCCCCCCCCCTCTCCGCCCCATCAGCCCTCAGGGGGCCCCACTGATGCCACCGCGTCGGCGGCGATCCCTATAAGGCGGAATCGACGCAACTACCTAGTCCCAGCCGCGCACCAACCTGGCCGAACGCAGCCCAAAAATGGGGGCTGCAGAACACCGCAACGGCTTCCAATATGGCTTCCAGCATGCAGAAGGCCGTCCAAGAGGGCACGATAGGCGTCCAAGATGACCAGAGCTCGCCCAAGATGGATGAGCGCGGCATGCCAGATGACGGAGACATCGAATGCAATGTTCAACGCATCGTTCGTCGCCCCCCCTCCTCCGACCTCCCCAGCTGACCCCGCCCTCCCGCACTTACCACGCACACCCCAACAATTAATACATAGTTTTCTCTGCTGGGAGCGCGCGCAACGTCACTCTCAGATTGGCGTGTGCAACAGAAAAATCTGCGAACGTGGAACGTGGATGTAACTCAAGCTGCGCATAGATGCACCAGAGCTCGCAACCGCCCTAAGATGCAAATCAAACCGCCTGCCGATGTCTCTTCGCCGTGCCCCCAGAGGCGTCGACGCCCCTCTTCTTGGTTTTGGCCTTGCTCAAGGCTGCCCGATCTTGGTCAAACACCCTCAACTCATCGCCAGCCTTCAAGCTGGACTTGTTCGTGAGCACTGGGACGTCCACGAAGGCGTCTCCGCCGTCGGAAAGGCTGCTCCCAGCCCCGACTAGGATGCGGATGTGGCTGACCTGCATGTTGGCGGAGGCACTGTCCCCCTCGGGCTTCACGCACCAGAACGGCGCCACGAACGGCACCACCTCCTTGGAGTGGCAGCCCGATACGGTCTCCCCGTGCGCGTAGTCGCAGCGCTGAGAAACAAACGCCTGAACCTTGCCAGACGCATCCCTAGGGCAGCCTAGGCAGACGGAGCCATTTGGGCCGTCCTTAGAGAGGGCCGAAACCGAAGTCGAGAAAGGGACCAGCACGAGCTTACCTTTCGCATAGGCGGACTTGGTGAACACGGACCTCTGCGGTTTCAACTGCACCTCGAAACCTGTATCTCCACCGCCATTGTATGCTACCGACTGGTGCTCGATGAACGCCTTCTCAAGCGCCAGCTTCGCAACAGCCTTTGTGCATTCCGCCAAGCTGTCTGAGTGGTCATGCGGCGACTGAAGATCCTTTGTTTGAGCGACCACCTTATGCTCAGGTTGCATGATGGACCAGCTGTCGGCCAAATCGGCGGCTGACACCTTTAGCTTCACGGGGATCCTGCCGCTGTCGTTCACGAGAACCAGAACGCACTCCGCGCCCACGGAGTCCAACTTGCATGTCTCGCCTTTGCGGCTGCTGGTCGTCACGTGCACCTTCGGAACGAACCCCATAGCTGCCAACGAAGACGGGTCGAATGCATTTCCTGAAAATTCACGGAATGCTGCGCCAGACTTGCCATTGTCACTGGATTCGCTCTGCCACGGCGCCTTTACTTTGGGATCCTTCACCACGTCGGCCACGCATCGAACGAAATCATCGCATATCTCATCGATTGACTTGAACTGTTTCCGACTCTTTGACCTCTTGCTGCACACGTGCATGACCAGTTGCATTGCGAACTCGCCTGAATGCTTCACGATTGCCCCCTCATCGACGCCAAGGCTGGCCAGCCAATCTCGGCCTTTGGTGTATCTGGCGACTGCTTCTGTTATATGCGGCATAAGGTTGCCAGTCATTGCCTGCGTGTCCACGCTGTTGAATAGTTTGCATTCGCCTTTGACTACAAAGTTTTCGGGCGCCGACTGGCACGCTTTAAGACACATGAATATCCAACTTGGCATCTTGGCAAATGGTAGATCCTTGAACAAAACAAGTGTGGCTGGCGACAGATCGCGCTGGAATTTGAGCTGTTTCCCGAACGTGTCCAAATCTTTAAGATGGATAGGGTCGGCCCCGCCCGCCCAGTTCTCCACAAACTTACAAAGATTTGACATTTGCCCTGCCAGATCGGGCCGAAAGCTATCCAGTTGTTTGGCTATACCGTCCCAGTTCGGCTTGCCCTGCAATTTGGTGTTCGTCACGGCCCTGGCATGCAGTTGGAAGAGAACTTGCATGATAGATGGGTCTTTCCTGATCCGATTGCCGACGTTGCCCGCTTCCTGAAGGAAGGCGGCGATCATCGGGCACGCACTAGCTACTTCGTGCCTCACTATGACAAAGGGCAGCCCTTTCTCAAACGGCTGGGACATCGATGGCGACAGCTCGCACAACCTGTCCTTGCTAAGCTTTCCGTTGATTGCGTATTCCACCGAATCGGCCGTCGGGCTCGCGCCGCTTTCCACGGCCCAGATCCACGCCATCGTGTGGGAACAACTTACTGTAAATGCCCTGATGCCATGCGGCTTGATATCTCCAAGCGTACCGCCACAACTTGAGATGGTTGCCTGCACCTTGTCCAAATCTTGCTTTGCTGCCGCGCCAGGGGGGCGCTCGATGGCACGAGCCTTGCCTTGCACTTCGCGCCAACTCCACCCGTCAACTGCGATGTTTTTTTCCAACCCAATGGGCGTGAGGCGGGTGAATGATAGAATCGAAACGATTGTTCACGTGAGGGCACACTTTTTCTGCCGTGAGCCACTCTGTGTACGCCAGATCGTTAGTCAACAATGAGTCGACGAGAGCATCGGCCTCCGACTTGAGCGTAGCGTCCTTGGTGGAGGCGCTAAGCATCATTTCCATTTTACTGTTCCACGCCGCGGCTCCAAACTTCTGCAACGCATCTTTGAATGGTTCGTCTGCCATCGAGAAGAACACGATGAGCGGCGCAAGCGCCAGCAAGCAAAACGAGGATAATATGCAATATGCGGACATGGCTGAACGACCTCGAACAGCTGCGAACACGCGCGCGCGATGGGGCCTCAGGGGATGCCATCATTCGGGCATGGCGGCCTATGCGCATAACCCCGCCCCCCTCCCCCCCCCCCTCCCCCTGGGACCCAGAGGCACTATAAGACACTGGGGTGCGTGGGTGAGGGGAGGGGAGGGGGGGCGGGGGCTGGGTGCGCGGGAGGAAAGGGGTGGGGGGGGGGGTGGGGGGGGTGGGGGGGGGGGGGGGGGGGGGGGGGGGGGGGGGGGGGTGGGGGGGAGATTCGGTCTCTTTACAACCAGAACAACCACTTTACAACCAGATGGGTTACTTTACAACCAACATAGGATTGGAAAGTATGGTTTTTCATCGAGAACGTCCACTTTGCAACCAGAACGGCCCACTTTACAACCAGAACGGACCACTTTACAACCAGAACGGGCCACTTTACAACCAGAACGGGCCACTTTACAACCAGAACGGACCACTTTACAACCAGCTCAGAGTGGCCGCGCGTGTTTGGGCGTTCCGCAAAGTGCTCCAGAGCAAGTGGGCGCTCTGAAAAATGCCGAGCAAGTGGGCGCTCTGAAACATGCTCCAGAGCAAGTGGGCGCTCTCAAAAGTGCTCCAGGGCGCGCGGACGCTCTGAAAAGTGATCCAGAGCACGTGGGCGCTCTGGAGCCCGAGCGCCTGAACTCTTTGCGCAGGCCCCAGCGATGCCTCTGAGCCCGAGGACCTGGACGCTCTGCGCAGGCCCCAGCGATGCCTCTGAGCCCGAGGCCCTGGACGCTCCGCGCAGGCCCCAGCGATGCCTCTGAGCCCGAGCGCCTGGACGCTCTGAGCAGGCCCCAGCGATGCCTCTGAGCCCGAGCGCCTGGACGCTCTGGCGCTCTGAGCCCAGCAGACTAAGACAGGGCTTGCTAGCAGGGGCCAAGCGGCCTCAACAAGGGCCCCGTGCTCGCACGGGAATAAGGCGACAGCGTACGTAGGAAGGCTCAGGGCGACGCGCTGCCCATTTTAGGGGCCACTCACAGGAAGCGGGCCCAGTGGCCTCCACAAGGGCCCAGCGCTCCAGGGAACTAGGCCATTGGCACCGCGGGTCTCTTGGGCCACGTTGGCCCCTGAAGCCCCACGGTGTTCTGCAAGGGGCTAAGTGCGCCAGCTCCAGTTGGCCCCCTGCTGCTCCTCGTCTTGGAAGATCGAGGTTCAACGTTCCGAATAAATGCAACTATTTCGAAGATCGTTTCTTCCAGCGTCAGCCACAGTGCCAGCGCAGCAACGCAGGTATCCTGCTCGGGCAGCAGCCTCAGCCACCGTGCCAGCGCAGCAGCTTGAGCCACCGTGACAGCGCATCACCGCCACCTTTGTGCTTGCTACCACCACGCTTACCGCTGCAGCCCCGCTACCTCCACAATTCCGACTGACCCCCCGCTACTACCGCAAATCCCATTGCAGCCCAGCTACCACCACAGTTCCCACCGTTGCTTGGCGACCGCCACAGTTGCCACCGCAGCTTCCCAACGCCATGCAGTTCCCATTGTAGCCCCCGCTACCACCACATCTCCCACTGCAGCTTTCCACTGCCATGCAGCTCCAGTCTTGGACGGGATCATGGTTTATTCGTATGTCCTGCGCGACTAGCCTTCGCCCGTCAGAAAAAAAAGGCAGAGCAAGCAATGGCAGAACTGACCGACAGAGCTTAGAGAGCAGGTCAAAACTCGAATCCGCCCACCAGCACGCAACATGCCATAGCGCACCAGGTCGCCGAATTGCCAACTCGCGCGCAGTGCTTCTTCGTGCGCGATGGGCAACTTTACAACCAACATGCCTCAAAGAGCCCAAAGCCACCCTTGCGCTTGCCCACGGAGATTTCAGAGAAAGGCACGCGTGCATTCAATATGTGTTTTTACTTGCCTGGTTGTAAAGTGCCCTTCCTGGTTGTAAAGTGCCCTTCTCGGATTATGTATGCTGGTTGTAAAGTGACCCATCTGGTTGTAAAGTGCGCTTCTGGTTGTAAAGTGACCCACACGCGGGGGGGGGGGGGGCGGCGCGAGCCCTGCTCTGCGCCCCATGCCAACGTTACGCCCCCCCCACACACACACACAAACACACAAACACACACACACACACACACACCCACACCCACACACACACACACACACCCATGCATTGATACACATGGGCCCTGAAGCCCCGATGCATTGATGCCTCGCGCGCGCTTTCTCCACCCCTGCCCCCTGGGCGCAAATGGTTATGACAATTTGCTCGCCAAGAGTGGCCACGTGCGGCCCAAGGCGGCCAAAAACAGCCCCAAGAGTACCTAAGAGGCCCCCATGCAAGCGCCCAAGATACCCCCAAGAAGGCGTCGGAGAGTTCCGAGAGGCCCTATGGTGGCCCAAGAGCGCTCGAAGAAGGCCCAATATGGCTTCAACCACCCTGCAATACCTTGCAATGCCCTGCAAGCGGCCCTGGGATACCTTACAAAAGGCTCTGGAATGCCCTGCAATGGCACTGCAATCCAACCAACACTCTAGGCATACATCGGCGATTGGATTAGTATAGTTGTTAGCATAATGTAATGGCATGATGTATTAGCATATTGCGTTAGCATAGTTTATTAGCCCAATGCTACGCAAGGGTAAAACTGTTAGAGTAATGTGTTCGAGTGTGTTAGCATAGCGTTAGCATCGTGTATTAGCATCGTGTATTAGCATAGTGTACTAGCATAGTGTATTCGCATAGTGTATTAGCATAGTGTATTAGCATAGGGTATTCGCATAGTGTATTAGCATAGTGTGTTCAACATAGTTTTTTAGCATAGTGTCCAACGCACAAGGCAAACACTGACACAATGATACACAATGTCTTAGTAGAGTGTATTCGCGTAGTAATTTTGCATAGCGTTTGCGCTGTAGTAGCATAGTGTATTAGCATAGTGTATTAGCATAGTGTATTAGCATAGTGTATTAGCATAGTGTATTAGCATAGTGTGTTAGCATAGTGTATTAGCATAGTGTATTAGCTAAGTGTATTCGCATAGTGTATCAGCGTAGTGTATCAGCATAGTGTGTCAGCATAGTGTAGTGTAGTAGCATAGTTTATTAGCACAGCGAGACACAATGATACACAAGGGTAAAAGTATTAGCATACTATTGGCACAATGTATTAGCACAGCGTATTTGCATGGTGTACCAGCTTAGTGTATTAGCGTAGTGTATTTGCATAATGTATTAGCACAGTGTAGTAGCATAGTGTATTTGCATAAGCACAGTCTCCACCGCACGGTCAGACGTCGATGCCATGATACACAATGTCTTAGTAGAGTGTATTAGATTAGTGGATCAGCATGGTGTATTAGCACAGTGTATGCACTGTATTAGCATAGTGTATCAGCGTAGTGTTTTAGCATAGTGTATTAGCATAGTGTATTAGCATAATGTAGTAGCACAGTGTCCATCGCACGGCAGGACGTTGACACAATGATCTACAATTCTAAACAAGGCGGACGCACTCATTTAGTGATAATGTATTAGCAAAGTGTTTCAATCTGTTAGTGTAATGTATTGAAGTGTATTAGCATAGTGTATTAGCACAGTGTATTAGCATAGTGTATTAGCATAGTGTATTAGCACAGTGTATTAGCATAGTGTATTAGCATAGTGTATTAGCACAGTGTATTAGCACAGTGTATTAGCATAGTGTATTAGCATAGTGTATTAGCATAGTGTATTAGCATAGCGTGTTAGCATAGTGTACTAGCATGGAGTGATAGCAGAGTGTATTAGCAGAGTGTATTGACACAGGGTGATAGCATAGTGTATTAGCAGAGTGTGCTAGCATACTGTGTTAGCGTAGTGTATTCGCGTTGCGTATGAACGTAGTGTATTAGCATAGTGTATTATCATAGTGTATGTGCTAACACACTATGCTAACACACTATGCTAACACACTATGCTAACACACTATGCTATACACTATGCTATACACTATGCTATACAATATGCTAACACACTATGCTATACACTATGATAACACAGTATGCTTTACACCATGCTATACACTATGCTATACACTATGCTACCAACGATGCTTCACACTATGCTATACAATATGCTTACACACTATGCTATACACTATGCTAACACACTATGCTATACAGTATGATATACACTATGATATACACTATGCTAACACAGTATGCTATACACTATGCTATACACTATGCTGACACACAATGTTATGCACTATGATATACACTATGATATACACTATGGTATACACTATGCTATACAGTATGCTATACACTATGCGATACACTATGCTATTCACTATGCTATACCCTATGCGTAGTGTGTTAGCATAGTGTATTAGCATAATGTATTAGCATAATCTAATATGTATTTGTTATGTATGGTTAACATGTTTTTCGTATGGTTAAGATTAAGAGTTCTCGATTTGAGGACGTTGAATATTGCTTGGGTCGCACTTCGGACATGGTTGAGCCAGGTGAAATAGTTGGGGTGCATTCGGGCATTGTTGAACTAGTTGAATTAGTTGATGCGCGCAGGTCGGAGTTAGTTGAACTAGTTGAATTAGTTGGGGCGCACCTTTTTCGAATTAGTTGAATTTGCTGTGGTGGAACTCGCTTTAAGGGGCTTCGGGGCCACTCAGATCATGACTTGACCTCGCCCTGGGAAACCCCTTCAGGACGTACCTCACAGAACAGGACCATCCCCCAGGCCCTGGCCCCATGGGCTTTTTCCCATGGCAGCTTGCCAAAACAGGACAGCATCCACGCAACCTGCCTTCAGATTTTCATGCACAAACATATGTTTTACTGCTGCCGCTCGTGCGGATGTAAGAACACGCGTGCCTTCCATTGCGGAAGTTCATTGCTCCCATGAGCCTCAAGGGGCTTTGAGAGCAACCGACGGTTCATGCTGCATGTTACTTGCGCGGGGGCTTCTTTATTTTCAAAAGCCATGAAGGACAAGCCAAGCGCCATCACATCGTTGAACGTTAGGAACAAACAAACAAAAAAACAACACATAACAATGCAAACAAAAAGCGCGCAGGCCAAAAAAAACATGAATAACTGAAAAAAACATCAAAACACATATAAAACACACAACTCCACCACCGAAAACACGATATATGTCATGCAAAAATCACATAACACATTAGCGCGCTAACCTACTTAGCTGATCCGTCCAACCTGCTTCCCTAACCTGGTTAGCTAACCGATCTAAACAGTAAACTAAGTGACTTAGCTAACCATGCTAAGCGGAACTGGGAACCATGCTAAGTGTATAACGAGGTTGATGCTAAGTGGTTAGCTTAGTGTGCTATCCGTGACCGTAATGTGCTATCCATTTAGCATGGTTACCTAAACGGTTGGCATGCTTTGTGTGCACTTAGCATGGTTATAACCACGCTTATATCATGCATATATCCATATGCTACCCGCGCTAACCGAGAGCAAAGCAGGGCGACGATCGCAGTAGCCCTGTTTTCATCCCCCCCTTTCGCCCGGCCCGATCATCCTCGCCAAGGCCGTGGTCGGAGGCCTGGAAATTGGCACCAACACCAAGACGGGGGGGGGCCTCCACAGGGGGAAGGTGATCCTAGATGTTCGGTGTTGGTGGTAATAGTTCGGCCACCTTGGAAGCCAGAATATCACCACCATCGCCGAGATCGGGATCTTCTTCCCTCGGTGGAGGCAAACCGCCGAAATTGGTGTTGGTGTCAATCTCTGGGCCTTCCACGTGGGGGCCTCCCTCTGCCCAGGCCCGCCATAGGGCCGGGAAAGCGCGCGGGGTTACCCGCCGTCGGGGGCCCGTCGCCGACCTGCTGGCCTTTTGCGTCGCCGACCTCGCGGCCCAGCACGCTCCGGGCCCCCCCTGGCCGCCTCCGCGAGGCAGGGACTCAACCAGCCTCGAACTGAATCCCTATCCCTGAGATTGACACGCCAGGAGGCGGTGACAATCTTCGGGACGCACCCTCAGAAACACTGAGGGAATCGCGAAGATCGCCATCGTGACGAGGCGATGCCCAACATAGGGCCAGGGGTAGGGACAGGTTCCAGGCTGGTGAATGGGCTCAAGCTCGCCCCCTGAGATCGCCGGCCGGGGCCCCAGATCCCACCTGCCGCCCAGGGAAAGCATGCCTTCTCGTCGGCAGCGAGGCGGGGCGATGCGCTCCAGCGTGGCAGCGGTGCAGGGGGCACTGCAGAGCGCACCGGCCGGCATCATGTGCGGGAGGAGGGAGATCGGGAGGGGGACGGGCGGCCGCGGGGACCAGAGGGATTGGCGAGCACTCCGAGGCGGAAGCCTTCCGCCACGAGGAAAAAAACACCCTCCGCCCGGGAACGTGCCGTGGCGCAATCGGTGGCCCCTCGCCGGCCGACCGCCGCCCGTCGTGCTGAGGCACGACGGGGCCAGGCCGCCCGCTTGCTTCCGGGGGCCTCCGGCGGCCGATCTCGGGACGGCGCGGGCACCGCGGGGACGCTCTCGGCGAGGAGGTGAAGCTGCTGCAGGAGATTCTCCCGATCCCGAGGGTGTTCGAAGTCTGGTGGGCCCATTTTCCACCACCACCACCACCACCATATCTAGGAGAGGGAGGAGGATCCGAGGAGGAGGAGGAGGAGGAGGAGGAGGAGCAGGAGGAGGAGGAGGAAGAGGTGGAGGAGGAGGAGGAGGAGGAGGAGGAGGAGGAGAGGAGGGGGAGGGGGAGGGGAAGGAGGAGGGGAGGGGAGGAGGAGGAGGAGGAGGAGGAGGAGGACTCCCTCCCCCTCCAACTCATGGTAGTGGTGGTGGTGGTGGGGAAACAGGCCCAGCAAAGGCGTCCGAAGACCTCCAGAGGCCTCCAGTCAAGAGTGTGTTCGCGGCGCGAGGGGGTCCGGGATCGTTCCCTGCTCGCAGGAGCGACCCCACGGGGTCCCCGCGGACATCTGAGCCCGTCCCCGCCCCTTCCCCCGGACACCCGCGGATTCGATGGTGGTTCCGGCCACCCGCGGATGAGATGGTGGTTCCAATCCGCGCCCCGAGAGGACCTCCCGGTTCTCTGGGGCCAGTTTCTTGCCCCGAGGTTCCATCTCTGCTGAGCTCTCCTCCTCCTCCTCTTCCTCCTCCTCCTTCTCCTCCTCCTCCTCCTCCTAGCCTCCTCCTCCTGCTCCTTCTCCTCCTCCTCCTCCTCCTCCTCCTCCTTCTCCTTCTGCTTCTCCTGCTCCTCCTCCTCCTCCTCCTCCCCCTCCCTCCTCCTCCTCCTCCTCCTCCTCCTCCTCCTCCTCCCGATAGTATACTATCGGGGGTGGACAGAACCCCCGACAGTGACACATCGATTCGTGAATTGTCCGTTTTCGGTCCTCGAGAGGGCGCCGCGGCCGTGATTTTCCAGGCCTGCGCCCGCCAGGTTTGGGCCCGAGGTCGTCTTCACTAAACCACGTTTTATCAGAGCCACGAATCATCAGGGGTAACTGTGGTCATGGTTAACTCGGGTTCGTTTTTCGGGAATCCGAGCCCGAGTTGCCCCAGACCCGAGTTACCCCGGATAATTCGGGCGTCCAGAGCCCCACATCATCAGGGGTAACTCGGGTCAGGGCTAACTCGGGTTCCTTTTTCGGGAATCCAAACCCGAGTTACCCCGGACCCGAGTTACCCCGGATAACTCGGGCGCCCAATTTTACTACAGGGAGGTCTGTCCGTCCCCGAAACCATCGCAGGAGCGACGCGGCGGTGCTCCTGCAGCTGCTCCGCCTGTGCTCGGCGTGCGCGCTGCCGCCGCCCCTGTGCGCGGTGGCGCTGGACGCGCTGTGCCAGCACGTCGAGGCCCCCGAGGCGCGGGGGGCGCGCCCGGCACCGCAGGCGCGCCACCGGCGATGCAGGTAACCTTGCCATCGCTCGGACGTGTGCATTTTTCCTTCGGCGAGGGCCATCGAGGAGCATCCTTGATCATTTGGCGAAAAAGCCACGCACGAAACCGAAAAAAACACAGGGAATGGACGTCCGAGCGATGCCCAGCAACGGCGATATGCCGGGTTCGGTATTGCTGGAGCGCGCGGGTCGCGCTTGCCTATGCAATCCGTTGCGGCGTTTTCGTGCAGTGCCTCCGCATATCTGAGGGGCCTGCTTTCCACCACCGCCACCACCGTAAGTTGGAGGGGGGAAGGAGGAGGAGGAGGAGGAGGAGGAGGAGGAGGAGGAGGAGCCCCTCCCCCTCCTGCTTATGGTGCTGGTGGTGGAAGACAAGCCCGTCAATATTGGAAATGCTGGAACGTGTGGTTCGTGATTTCCTACGATTCGGTCCCCCACATCACCGTTGAGCAGCATCGCCAGTAGCGTGGCCTGAGCACCAGCCCTGGCCGGGCCGATCCCGGGCCCGGGATCGGCGTCTTTTCGAAGAGGCACATGGTCAACCCGCGCAGTGAGGCTGAGCGGCTCTCCAAGGCTGCCCCTGCATCCTTCCCCTTACAGCCCGTCCTTGGCCGCTCTCTCTGGCCGCGCCCCGCTCGACGAGAGTATAAGATACGGGTGTGTGGGGGGCAAGGCGCACAATAAGCACAGTGAGAAGAAGAATGAAGGATGATCCTTCTCTCACGTGCAGACTGCGCTCCACACGCTCTCGTTCCGGAGGGACGGGCCAGGGCTGCGAGGTGAGCGCCCGCTTTGCTGAGGCCACTCCCCCCAGACCGCCGAGACGGCGGCCCCTCCGCGCCCCGCTTTTGCAAAGTGCTGGCGGGGCCCTCCGAGGCCCTCGCGCCCCTGCCGCGCGTCCTTCTGCTGCGGGCTGGCCGTGAGCATACGGTAGGTTTGCGTCGTGTCGACCAGCGGCGACCCCAGCGCGGGCGTTCAAGGTTGAACGCCGACGGCGGCCCAGAATCGGTCGATGTTGAACGATCGGACGTTGCGGAGACGGCCGATCGTTCAAGGTTGAACGATCCAGCGCGGTGTCAGGAACCAACGCCAGAGTCGACACGGCACGGACCTGCAGTACACACCTCGCGGAGTTCACAGCGCATCTTTTGGGGGTCTGCGCCCGAAGCCCCCATGGCGGCGCCTCCGGCGCCGCTGCTGGCACTTGAGGCGCGCGCCGGGGCGGTCCGGCCCGAGCATTTCCTTTGGGTGGGGGGCAAAGGGTGAAACCTGAAATGCCGTTTCGATGGCTGCTCGAGGCTTGAATCTGCAGAAGGTGAATCACAAGACGGATTGATTGGCGAGGTGCAACGCACACGTAGATCTCACCCTGAGCCCTCCACCCTAAGAAAATGTCCGGCCGGCGCGGGTCGAAGACATCCGCGCGGAGGTCCAGAAGGTTATCTTCATATGGCTGATTAGGGCGATCATGGGCCCAGGATCGGTGCTTCTGCATGGCTACGCCGAGGCCAGGCCAGGAGGGCGTGCATTCACCGACCCTGGGCCTGGGGTGGCCCTCTGGCCAGGATCGGTGTTGGTGTGCAGTCCCTGAGATCCGGCGTGACCAAGACATGCAACATCGTGGACAATCACGACCTGAGCACCAGACCAAATATTCCGGTAGCAAATCATGGGAGCCCGGTGTAATTTCTTATGCCGTCTTTAGCGTCGGTTGACGTCTGGGAGTCGATGAGATAGCGCCGATTTAGCGTCGATTAGCGTGAATTTAGCGTCGATTAGCGTCGATTTAGCGTCGATTAGCGCTGGTTCGCAAGAGCCGACAAGATGGTATGGAAGGCTCCCATGAGTTGCCACCGAAAAATATGTCTGTGGCATTGCTCGAGCCGGATCGGTCTATGAGGGCTCCAGGGCCTGGAAGAAGGCGAAAACGACGGGTGTGCCAAAATTCGGAGGTGGATAGACCTCCTACCCTGACACGTCGATTAATGAATTGGCCGTTTTCGGTTCGCGAGAGGGCCTCGCGGCCGTCATTTTTGCGGGTCCAGGCCCGTCGGTTTCGGTCCCAGGCTGTTTTCACTAAGGGGGGCTCTACTAAAGGGGACCTCGCCTGTCCCCAAAATTGGTGTCTTTTTGGGGGGCCCGACGCGTGCTCGATGCGGACTCGACGCGGATTTGGCGTGGATTTGACGTGGATTCGACACGGATTCGACACGGATCCGACGCGTCCGACATGGATTCGACACGGATTCGACGCGGACAGGGCCGCGACGGGACAGACAAGGTCACCCGAGGATGCAACATAAAAATGGCAACTCCCGGATCTCAGGGGCTGGCGTCCTCCCAGAGGTGGCGAGGGAGCTGCTGCTCGCCGTCTTCCCCGCGGACGCACCCCGGGTGCACGTGCCGGCGCTCTGCGACCACGGACGAACTTCTGCGAGTCTCTTCTCGGGGAACGAAAAGTGACATCAACATAAAGACTCGGAGGTCCGCGAGGATTTCTCGGATCGGCGCTGGACCCGCCAGGGGCGGCGCCGGAGGCGCCGCCGATCCGAGAGATCCGCGCGGACCTCCGAGTTTGTATGTTTATGCCACTTTTTGTTCCCCTATCTTCGACGCTGGGATGTCGGACACCCCTGCGGAAGTTCTCACTCGGCTGCAGGCATCCTTTCAAGTCTGTCGGGGGTGGGCAGGACCCCCACCAGTGACACGTCGATGAGTGGATTGTCCGTGTTCGGTTCTCGAGAGGGCGCCGCGTCCGTTCTTTTCCAGGCTCGCGCCCGCCAGGTTTGGGCCCGAGGTCGTTTTCACTAAACCACGTTATACTACAGGGGGGTCTGTCCATCCCCGACAAGGCTTTTCGACGCTGGGATATCGGACACTCCTGCGGACGCTCTTACGTGGCTGCAGGCATCCTTTCGATTCTGAGCCCCAGCCAGCGGTTCAAAAATCTGATCTGCAGGGGTCGGGCTCACGTGAGCGCCGCAGACAAGCGGGGTCTTCTGCACCGACTCTGGCGCGTGAGCTGCCCGCGTGAGGTGGCGCGTAGGCGCCGTCTTCTTTCCATCTAGCGCGCCGCGCTGGCGGCCCGCGCAAGCCGCGGCGTAAGGTGAAGTCGGGCATGTGCCCCTGCAGGAGGAATGCTCAAAAGTAGTAGCACAAGTAGTCAGGGGACGATGTGTTCTACTACTCCTGCTTACTTTTTACTACCCTTGAGTTTCTCCCTAACATGCGCCTGTAGGAGGACACGCCCGACCTACAGCGTGAGGTCGCCACGCCACCTCGTGTGAGACAAGCGCTTCCCTCCTCGCCGCCCACACGTGTGTGTGTGTGTTGCCCGCAGGCGCCGCACCGCGCGCACCTCGCGCGCTGCCTCGTCGGCAGCGACACCGTCTGGGCCGCCGCCGAGGAGGGCGGCCGCGGGAAGGTCCTCGAGAAGGCCCTTGCCGCGCTGGAGCCGGGGCTCGCGGCCTGCCGCGAGCGGCACGCGCGCGCGCAGGCCTGTGCCGCAGGCCAAAGAGGTTGACACCACCACCAGTGTAGGCGGTGTGCCTCCACCGAGGGAAGAGGGCTGTGGTTTCGGTGAGGGTGGTAATAATATTCTGGCTCCCGAGGGGGCCGAAATATCTTGCCACACCAGCACGGAGATCTGGGATCGGCTTTCCCGTGTGGAGGTAGCCCCCTGTGTTGGTGTTGGTGCCAGTTTCTACTACCCTCGTCGAAATTAACCTCAACAGTTGCTGGCACGTCATTTCGATTTCGGCGCGCCCCACAATGTCGACACGCCGCCCCTTCGATGTCGGGGCGAGGGCAAAGATAGCCTGACCGAAGTGGACTCGAAAGTTTGACGCCGACCGACACTGGAGGGGCAGCGCATGCAAGTACCCCGCACTCATCGATACTCGGCCCCAGATCTTCCGGCAAGCAGTTCAACTCCCAGGAAAGCATGGGAAATTTTTGAAGTTCAACTCCCAGGACAAGCAGTTCAACTCCCAGGACAGGCAGTTCAACTCCCAACTTCAACTGCTTGTCGGACTCGAAAGTTTGACGTCGACATTTTTGAAGTTAATTTTGACGAGGGTTGTAGTCCTCCAACGTCGACCGACACTGCCCGCACTCGAAAGTTTGACGCCGAAAGTTTGACGCCGACCGAAGTGGACTCGAAAGTTTGACGCCGACCGACACTGCCCGCACTCATCGATACTCGGCCCCAGATCTTCCGACAAGCAGTTCAACCACGTCAGACATTTTTGAGGTTAAGTTTGACGAGGGTTGTAGATCCCGGATCCTTGGATCTCAGAGCCGTGGCTCGAGGGCCTCCTCATCCCTCCTCGTCCTCCCTCATCTGAAGGGGCCCTGGGACACACGAATAAATACACACAAATAAAAAGGTTCCCCATATTTCCCCATATGTTTGGGGTTTTTTGTCTTCCCCCCCACTTCCACGTCAGACATTTTTGAGGTTAAGTTTGACGAGGGTTAGTAGTCCTCCAACGTTGGGGGCAGCGTCGGGGGGGGCCCCACGGGCGGGCAGCCGCAGCGGCCGCCGCTGGCCGAGCGGCGCCCGGCCTCGGCCGAGCGGCGGGCCTCGGCCGCGCGGCGGCGGCGCACGCGCGGGGGCGGAGCCCCGAAGCCTCGGGGGTAACCTCAGGAGGGGGGAAAACGGCACAGTGAGTCGTCGATCCCCGGGAAAGTGTGGGAAAAGATGGGAAGTTGAAGTCGGGGGAATCCGATCCCGAGCTGCCCTGGGCCCGAGTCACGTCACCCGGCTAGCTCGGGCGCCCAACTGCGCAGCCCCAGCGCGGGGGCGGAGCCCCGAAGCCTCGGGGGTAACCTCAGGAGGGGGACAAAAAGACACAGACGCAAGGAATCGACGATCCCCAGGAAAATGTAGGAAAGTGTAGGAAGTTGGGGGGAAGACGAACCTGAAACAACTACGGAAAAATATGGGAAAATGTAGGAAGTTGGGGGGAAGACGAACGTCAACACAAAAATAAAAAAAGAGAAGGGGTAACTTCAGGAGGGGGGAACAAACGACACAATGAGTCGTCGATCCCCAGGAAAATATGGGAAAAGATGGGGAGTTGAAGCAGGGGGGAAGCCGAACATCAAACAGATACGGAAGGATATGGTGAGTCCTCGGGGGGTAACTTCAGGGGGTAACTTCAGGAGAGGGAAACTTCAGGGGGGGAACAAAGACAGAGACCAATTCATCGTCGATCCCCAGGAAAATATAGGAAAATATAGGAAGTTTGGGGGGGAAGACGAAGATCAAAACAAACATGAAAAAAAGAAGGGGTAACTTCAGGAGGGGGGAACAAACGACACAATGAATCGTCATCCCCAGGAAAATGTAGGAAAAGATGGGAAGTTGAAGCAGGGTGGAAGCCGAACATCAAACAGATACGGAAGAATATGGGGAATCCTGTTATTTGTGTGTGTTTTTATGCGTGTGTGTCCCTGGGCCCCTGCACAACTCGGCCCCGAGACATCCGGGAATCCGATCCCGAGCTGCCCCGGGCCCGAGTTACGTCACCCGGGTAGCTCGGGCGCCCAACTGCGCAGCCCCAGCGCTCCCACTCCTCGACAGTCGGCGGCGCCGGCACTGCGACTGCCTGGTCCTTGGCTGCGGCGCGAGGTTCAGCGTTCGGAGGGGGATTGGGCTCCGAGCTGGAGCCGGCTGGGGGTCTCTGAGGTGTGGCACAGCAGCGGCTCCGGCGAGCAGAAAAAAGGGGGGGAAGAGACTCGAGGTTCCGGGCTCGGGGAGGTTTCCGTTAGCCCGGTGGGCGTTTTCGGGTCACCGGACCAACAAACGTGGATTTTGGATGGGAAATTTCACCAGGTGGACCCCGGGAGGGGTCTGGAGACAGATGTTGGGCCGACTTGCCTTCTGTGCCCCCCCTCTGGGCCGATTTTTTTGTGGCCCAGCCAGCTCCGACCGTCTGGCCGCCTCTGGGAGATGCAGGGGCTCAAGCTCGCCCACTGGTCTCCGATACTGAGATGAACGTCGGCTTTGTTAAAGCTTATGAGCTTTATAGCGAGTTGCTAAGGTTGGTACAACGTCCATACAACCCTTTCACAAAGCAGCAGCAAGCTGCTGTAGCTAGTAAGCTTGTTTATCATACTTAGCTAAAGCCAGCGTGGCTTTTAGTAGTTCAACATAAACTGTATAAAGGTTTACATGTTGCTAAACAGTTTATGGTTTATGTTGGATAACTGTGATAAATTTGATAACTCATTTATCTCATGTTAACATAGCTTTTTATGTTAGTTTAACATAGTTTTTCCAAAATTTGAAGTTCAAACACATTATGTTAAGGTAACATAAGTGTTCGAATAGGATAACATGATGCTCAGAATAGTTATAACATGAAAAACTTTTTCAGAAAAATGTTGATCTCGTTTTTCTCAAAGGCCCAACACAAGCAGATCTCCACGGTTCAACATAGCTCCCGATGCAAACCAAACGTTGTTTTTTTCGAACCAAACATATCTTCCGTTGCTAACCAAACATATGTTCCCTTTGCTAACTCAGCTCATGCTGGGAATCCAAAGAACATGTCCGAACCCATTTGTAGGCGACCTGGCTCTGAAAAACTCGGTGATTTTTACCTAGAGATAGCTCAGCGAACTCAACATCAGCATGCAGAGCAGATGTTCAACATTGAACTGTGGATGAGAGGTATGAGCATCGGACACGACGGTTTCGAGATATATTTTGTGATTTTGCAGTTGCATTTTGCCATCCGTAGTTGCAGGATTTGCGGCTTAAAGCATTCGCTATAGCTTCCAGCAGCTTTCTTCAGCTATGTCTCAGCTTACCGAAGCTTTCAAAACGGAGTTCCAGAAGATTCTGAATTTGAAAAAAATGAAGGCGAACGAGCATATGGATATGCTGATGACCTGCCTTCGGGCACACAAGTTGGCGTACACAATGAACAGCATCGAGCCGAAATTTTTTCTCGCGCACAGTGCAAACCGTGGAGGGCTTCTTCTGAGCCCGCACAATGTGCATCGCAATGCAGCTCGGATTCATGCAGCTGGTGCCGACATGCGCCAGCTATCAAATGCCGTTTGCATCGAGCTTGGAGTCAACTCCCCCATCCGTTGGCAGCACGTTGCTAAGAACAAGGCGCTGGTGGACAGAGCCGATGGGCTTCTAGCGCCAGTTAATGGCTCCGAGCGGTACGTTACAGTCGGGTGTGGACACACCACGGCTTTCTGCAAGTTGGCAGGGGTGCAGGGCAGGACGTCGGAGAAGTCATTGCAGACGGCTGATTCAGATACGATTGACGTGCAGAAGTTGTCCCAGAATGTACAATTCAAAGCCATGATTGAGAAAGGCTGGGCGTGGGAGGTGGTCCCAAGTATCATTGACGAGCTGTTCCCAGGCTTCGCCTCAGTAGCCCAGAAGGCTTTAAACACTCAGAACCACATCGGCACGGAGGTCGGGGAGCTGGAGACCTGCATGACGTTGGCGGCGATTGCCAACGACCCAGGAATGCGCCAGCTTGCGGATTGGAAAGCCATGGCTATCGAGAACGTAGTTTCGCTCAACGTACCGAGCGCGAAGTACAGCAAGACATTGCTTGAGTTTGTCGAGAATTTCGGAGGTGGCGATGGCGCTCCTCTCGTGTCGTTCATGGACTCGGTTGCAGAGCAATTTGGTTGCAACACTACGTTGGGGCAAGCTTTCTGGGAATCGATTACGAACACAGCTTTCGCATCGAAAACCAACATGTATCCTTTGATTCGGGTGGCACTTGCAATTGCAAACCTCACGGGTGACAAGGTTGAGGACGGCGTGGCGCGCTTGCTTGTGAAGAATGACGTCACAAAGGTTGCTAGCAAGCCTAAGATGGCTGAAGCAATTACTGCTGAAAGCATTCTTGGCGAAGCCATGGATATCGCAAGGGGGCTTGATGGCATCGATGCGGCGTTGCAGCCATTAGGTCAGCTATTCGTGAGGATTGCGTTGAAGCCCACAGGTAAGGAGAAGATGGGTCGGGGGGGCAAGGATTTTAAATGGGGCGACATATGCAATTCATTTCTGACCAGCCTCAGCGACCTCAAGGGTCACAGGGTAACGTTCGACGAGTGGTCTAAACACGCGGTCTCGAGCGGCGCTGCAGCCGCTGCCAAAGCGAAGCCGAGCGCATCCAGCACGGCGACGCTCAGCGACCATAAGGACCCGACATGGATTGCCAAGAAGGCTGGGTATTCGGTGGGGTGCTTTGTAGTCCAGAAGGACGTTGCAGTCCAGATGCTTTATACTATCTTCAGCATCGGTCAGACTGTCAAGCTTCGCGAAGCTGTTAACCACGACCCGAGCCGAGAGCCACATACGGCTGAGATTACATTTGAGGATCTTCTTCAGAAGTGGTCAATATCTAAGGCTGTGCTGTCAAAACAGATGGATGGTGATCAGCAGCGCCCGCAACAGCTGTACATCGACAAGCAGAAGGCTGCGTTGTACCGAGCTCTCCTTGAGCTGGATGC